TACAACGGTTTGTTGAATAAAACTTTCAGACGACGCAGTTCTATGGCCACTAAATCTTCAGCGAACACGCTGCGGCTGTGAAAGTTTGGTTTTGCAATTAGCGCCTCCGCACCGCATCATCCTTCCTATTTTGTAACAAGTCGTACGTCGGTGTACTTGCGCACGTTCTCCATTGTCTTGCCGAACACCGCGTTGTTCATAAGTTTCTAAAGATTTTTTGCAAACTCGTTGGTGGCGTTCGCGCGGAATCGGGTATTCAGTTCGATGTATCCGCGCAGCCAAGGCGATTGCGAGAACCGCAGTACTCGATGTATTCGCGTCAGGCGAAGCCCGTATCGCAGATACTGCTGCAGGTTGAGGTAATGAATCACGTATCGCTTCTTGTTGAACACTGTGGCGAGCAGTTTGACGTGATTCTTTCCATGTTTACCGGGCGGCTCCTCACGCGTCGGACAAAAAGGCAGGTCTCTGTGCGCGTCGTGCAGTTCTTTCGGATACGTTAGATCGACCTCGAGTATGTAGCCAACGTTGCTGTTCGCCGCTACAGTTGTCACATCAAACTCGTACGCGTTCTCCACCCACGCAAAGTTACCATATGGAAGTGGTTGACACATCGCCCATCCGTAGAGATTGTTAACGTCGTAGTACATCAGATACGACGTCGGTTCGGATAGATCGTACGATTGCGCGTACCTGTTGTTGGCGCGGGCGTATCTGTTTGAACATTGACTCAGACCACCGCGTATGCCGCGTTCCACGAACATCACCATGTCGATGTCTGTCAGCAGCTCGAACGTCACACGAGTGTGCTTCAACATAGCGTCCCATGTATATCCCGGCAGCGTGTAGTAGTGCGCGGGATCCAGTCCGTAACTCGCGAGGCACTCGCAACGAAAGTTTTCGAATACATCGGCCAGCAAAAGTACATCTTCAGATACAGGTCGCTGTAAGATCCCAAATTGTTGATGTTGAATCGTTGCCAGACGTTCGTCGCGTGCGCGTACTCGCTCTCCGTCACAGTCTCACCAGTCAGCGAACTGTAAAACGCCTCGCGCGGTGGCAAACTTGTTTCCAACAGTTTGTCGACGTTGTCCACGTATTCGTATGGAAACACACTTTTTCGTGTGAGCAGTTCGAAGTCCTCGGTGGAGAGATCGTTGAATTCCGTTCGAGTCACTCGCAGTTCGCTCTTGTCGAGATAGGATGCGAGCTTTTCTAAGCTTGTGCTCAGAAATTTGTACGAATCAATGAACCGCAATTGCACGCACTTCTGATTGTCTTTATCTCGAGTACTGCTCACATGTTTCGTGAACGATATGTAGGTTTCTTTTGTCACGGGCAGCACGTTGATCTCACCCTCGAAAGCGGTGGCCACATCCTTGATAATAAAATGCGCGTCGTACCCCGACAAGTTGTGGAACACAACGGGAACAACGTAGACCTGTTTGTAATTCAGATTGCACGCGGAGTGCGCGGGTCTTCTGAAGCGTCCCGTCAGATGACAATGATCGCGCACTCTCATGTCGTCTTGCTCGAACGGTCGTTCGCAAACGTGGCAACACTCGGCGTTCGTAAACCGCTCGAACTCCACCGGTGTGAGATTTGCCATAGGTACATTTGTTGCGAACAAGGTCTTCGCACGTTTCGCGAGCTCGTGCAGTTCGTTTACGAACCACTGCACACAGTTCTCGCCTCTGTGAGATCTGTATCCGATGTCAATGTGCTCGCAGCTCGCGTAATAACCGATGCTGAACACGCTGTGTCTTTGGTACTTGTGCGCGCTCGATGCGTTCTCCTCTTTGTCTTGTTTCTCGAGTACGCACTCCAAGTCGGCGTACACAACCATTGGAACTCGTTCCTTGTTGTTGCAATTCTCAAATCTCAAACGGTTCTTTCCTTCAGCGGGAAGAATGACTGCGCTGTTGTTCAATCGTTCACAGTCCACGGTGTGTGCCGCCAGCTTATCGCTCGTGTGGAAGTAGTGTAGACATCTGTGTGTATGTGTTGTAATAAAAAACAATACACGCAACATTGATTAATGAGTTCACCATCTCACAATTTAAAAAGTCACTTTTTTTATTCAACATTGTTGTTACTGTTACACCAATCGTTTGTACTTACCGGTCGCATATGTATTTTATTCGTTTAGTCTTGCTCAACTGCGAGCTGACTAATCGCGATAATTGTTTTATCCACGCGAAGTGTCCCACGTGTCCATTGTGTTGATCGGGAACATACAACAGATTCACATGCTTTTCCTTCTTGTTCGATGTGAGTTGCAGCGGCACGTATCCGTGTCCCTGTTCCACCGCTGTAAACACGTTTACGGACACGTTGTTGTTGCGTTCGAAACGCGCGATTTGATGCAATGTCATTGGAAACTCTATTCCATCAAAGTTCAACACACTCGCGTACGCGGGATACTGTGACAGTCGATTAGAGTTTTTGTTACTAGGATACAACGCGGCGACCACTGCCCACGCGAAACACGCATTGTCCCGCGACTATACGTTCACTACCGCGTGTTTGAGCTGAACCTGAACGGACGTTATCATAGGAAGTGCGTCATCAAACTGGAAGTGACTGATCGCTTAGGGCGATAAGAACAGGCTCACTTCCGGGAAATTGCGGTTTTTCTCGGAATTATTTATTTCCTGGAAATTGTGGTTTTTCTCGGAATTATTTATTTCCGGGAAATTGCGGTTTTTCTTGGAATTTCTTATTTATTCGCTGCGCAATCACAAACTGCGCGCTATTTATTTTTAAACGCGACCGCTTCCGGGAAATTTGCGGTTTATCTCGGAATTATTTATTTTAATGCGCACTTTATATTTTAGCAATGACGTCATCATCCAAACGACCTTGAAAACACGTGACCACTCCTTCCCCCTCCACTTCCTTCGCGCGGTTAACTTTTCCCCTTCCCCCCACACCTTCGCAATGCCCTCGGTTGTCGGACTCTTTCTATCTTATGGACTGTTTCCAGTAAGGCGTGCTCGAACTTCTCGACCGCCCATTAGATAGACAAGGACAGAACATGACTCGTCTATTGGAAACCTGAGTCAGAACACGCATAATATAACTACTAACTGTATTCGTGAGCGAATCAGTTGATTTTTTCTGCGTTTTGATAGAAAGCGTGGATCTTTCGGCATTTTCAATAAGATTGTAATTTAGTTCTAATTTAAAACAAGATTTTATAATATATACATACCTTATATAACTAAAAATCATGTGCAGTAAAAAATATATACTAAAAAAGAGGTTATGATGACTTATTGAACACAACTTCGACAGATCAACAAAATACCGGATACCCTGAAATATAAGATGATATACATTTCTATTAAAGATTATTAAGAACACTTCTATTAAAGATTATGTACAGTAAAAAAATAGTTTAATAAAAAGAATAAAAGAGTGAAATTACTTGTTGCATTGATATAGGAGATTAACAATACCAAAAGAAATTGATCTTGAAATATCAGTGTTGCCAAGCGGGTCAAGTTCTTCGCGCATGCGCACAAATGTTATATAATTTAAACATAATTTTACGGTACCTTGGTTATATTATTTTTGAATAACAATGTTATATTACCGTTATATTGGACAAATATAACATTACTTGTTACTTCGGAAAAACATAACTGTTGTGTACTGTGTTTAGTGGGCAGTAATAGCGCGTTAGGTTTTTTAACGTGAACCTTTGCTTGTAGCCTTATTCTACCATGTTTTATTTCGCATCTGTTAGGTTTTTAAATATGGATGTCGGATATTTAGAATGCCAGACATATTAAGATTTTACACATTAATTACACAGCCACACAAAAAAAATTTCTTTGGCCTGGGAATCAGACCATGTTTATTATGTGTTTTTGGAGTTGCTGAATCCGAATCCGAGGTCCATTAAACCCCATCGGGTCGGGGCTCCGCCATAACCTCAAAACACACCATAATCTGAGCTCGGAACCCATATAATTTTTTGATTCAAGCCATAAACACAAAAACCAATTAGATAAACCCCATAACNCCATCTTTTGGTAAACCTAAGTCTTTTATAAGATCATTCAACACCAATCTTGAGAATACTTCGATACGATAGTATCGCTATCTTCACTATCAGATTCATTTTCTTCAACAAAAATTCATGTTTTCGTTCTAACAGAAGCACCATTCTATATACATGTTGCATATATCATCGTCAATGGTTAAAGCTATGGTTAGTTATTTTATTTAATTCCATAAATTTAGGAAATCTTTGGTCATAAATGATTGACATTTTAACCTTTTCGCTCCGGGGATTTTTCCTTTAAAATTGAACTCGCATTTTAGCTGAAAAAGTTAATAATAACCTGCTACCCCCCCCCTTCAAAGTTAATTTTGAAGGTCAAAGAAGTAACCAGGATTTTTTTCAATTTTTTTCCTAAATTTAGTGCATTAAATTGACCTTATAAACATCTAT